GGGGCGGGAGGAGGCTGTGAGTGACAGCTCGCCCAGGCGAAAGTGCCCCTAAACACTTCTCTTAATTGGCCGCTTACAACTTCAAGTTCTCCTTCAGATGTATTAAAAGCGAAGGTTTAGCAGCGACCTGGGTTACAAAGGACTGATGATCCAGTTATGAGAGTTGATCACCTTTTTCATTTCGCGGAGTACCGCAAGACAAGCATCTCACATTAAATCCTCATTAGAAGGTGAGGACTAGATTAGAGGAAGCTCGCCAGGAGTCTGTTACCCGGGTAGCATAAGATGCCATCAATATTTCTTTTTTTTTAAAGAATCATTTTATTTAACTTACTTATTTATTTTAATTTGACCAGAGAGGAACAGAGTGAGAGAGAGAGAGAGGAAAAGTGAGAAAGGAGCCACCAGGTCCTCCAAACGTGGTTAGCCAGTCTGTTATCCTGGGACTCTCCTTCAGCAGTCAGGTGTCTCTGGGTAAAATAAAGGCTCAAAATTTGAGGCTGAGTGGAACATAGTTTTCTCTGCTACACATCACTCTTACCACCCAATCTACAACATACCTAAATTAAAAAGTGGCCACATACTCCATTTAAATACCGAACTATCTTTTTTTTTTCTTTTGGAGAGGTTTTTGTTATAGGGCACATGTGCTCGCCAGAAAGACAGAGACAGAGAGATGGAAAGCGAGAAATCACCCCCCAGGGGCATGGCCAGGCCACAATCTCGTCTCCTTCATTTTGCTCTCTGGATCTTGGGCACGCACGCACATGCGCCTGGTGGGAGTTTAAGCCACCGGGTCTGAGACTTGAACCTCGGTTGACTAGATGGCAGTCCAGTGACATAGTCATTATGCTAACTGCTGATCCCCCGCCTTTCTTTTTTATTTTAATGAGAGTAAATAAGGGCGAGAAACAGGTATTCTTGATGAGTTCTTTCACATCATGACCCTCTGTCCCAAATTCCTAGTTAGCTAGGACCACACATCTGGCCTATTTAGGTTGGGTGGGGAACCAAATCCAAGCCTCCCCTGCAGCCCCACATATGAGGCAGTAGTGTCCTCCCATTTGTACCACCACAGTTGATCCCCAAAAATAACCTCTGTTAAGGGAAGAAAAGAAAAAAAATGAAGATAAAATACAATTTATTTATGTCTTATATTGGAGGCATCTCTGAAATCAATATTCATATTGCCCCTTAATTTTAAATGTCTACAACAGCACCATCCAGTAGAAATAAAATAAAACAGAGGTTAAAGCTCCAACATATAAAATGTTCAGGGGATACGATTAAGTTTATACCAAATACCAAGATATTGAGGGTATGGAATTCCATTTCAGAAGCGCTTCAGATAAAGTAATATTACCATCTGCCTGGATAATCTCTTTGGGATGAAAGTCCATTTAGCTGGAGAAAAATCACTGGTGTAATATTTTCCAGAACCCCAAGTTGATGAATTATAATGACACCATTCTTATATCCTTATGTATGCAATGGTTTCATTTCACGACAAAGTAAATTTCACTATGACCCATACTTCTCCCAATAAAAGTCTTGGGGAAAATTTTGGGGGGTTTCCTGGGAAACTACTACTACTCAAGTTATATTTTCTATTAGATTATTTCCTCTCTTTTTTCTCTGTGAAGTTATTTCTCTTAGCCTTGGAACTGCAAAGGCACAGTAGGTTCTTTCCCTCATCTAATTCTATTTTTAAAAATGAGCATTCCATAATCAAGAAGCATTTTGGAAAACAGGCTTTCAAATTAATAGTTGAATATTCCCAGAATAGTAAATATTTAAATAAAACTAACAGTACTTCCTTTCAAGCTTCAGTACATGAATGTATGAAACTAGAATAAACTAAAAAATTATCTTTCTTGTGAATACTTTAGAAACTGATGTACAGAATATAATTGACACCTATTTTTTTATTACTGTGGCATTGGGGAACTCCGTAGAGTAAACATAAAGGGTGTTTTGACCTTGCTATAAAATATGAATTTATGGTACTGAAAAGGGAGAACATGGATCCAACATTTGCTAAATTGAAAAGTAATAAGAACACTTTAATGGTTCAGCTCTTGTATTATTACAAGCACAGGTTGGAGTACTCAACAAAAAGGAACTTAGACTCTTTTATCCATTAACTATTTTAGGCAAGGCCAGTAAAGTAGATATATTAGTTAAAAATGAATCAAAATATAAGGTATGAATTATTTACAAATTGCAATATCATCAAATTATTTTTAGTTATCTAATGTTAGATTCTAAGAAGCCAGAAACTAACTGGAGTTGTCTCTAACAATGTTATTATGCAGGCTTTTATTTAATTTATAGTTTTTTTAATGTATTTTTTTATTATCATTCAATTTGCTATAGGGCACGTGTGCTCACCAGAAAGAGACAGAGAAAGGGAAAGTGAGAAAGCAAGCTGCCAGTTCCAGGACTTGAACTATGGTCAGTCATGTGGAAGCCTAGCACCTCAACCACCATGCCACCTGCTGGCCCTTCATTTATAGTTTTTGAATGTCATTATTTATTCATCTTGACATAAAAATAGGCTAGTTGTTGTGATTATATCTTTCTTGTCATGACTGCCTACAAGAAACTCTAATTTGTTTTTTCACTTAGTTAGTTTAACATACTTATGTAGCTAATAATTTAGTTCTAGAATGTCAGGACAATATTGCCAATATTCATATATTAAAAACTCATCTATGTACCTCTATATTTCTATAATATATGTACTATAAACATATAATGGAAATTTAAAAGATGAAATCAATAACATTTAAATTAAAAAGAAAAACATTTTTGAGAGATTTTTGCTGTAGGGTACCAGTGCTCACCAAAGAGACAGAAAGCGAGAAATCACCCGTCAGGGGGATGGCCACACCACAATCCCTTCTCCTCCATTCTCCTTTTGGGATTTTGGGCACACATTTACTTGTGCCCAGTGTGAGTTTTAAGTTGTGGGTCCAGGACTCAAACCATGGTAGACTATGTGGGAGTCCAGCTTTGTAACCATTACACCATACGCTGGTACCCATGGAGTGAGTTTCAAGCCACTAGGTCTGGGACTCCAACAGCAGTTGACTATATGGAAATCCAGTCATGTAACCATTGTGCCATCTGCTGGTCCATCATTAACATTTAAAATTAAAAATTTAAATTAAGAACAATGTGACTAGATAGTTTTCATTATTTTGGAAAGTCTTGGTTTAAAACTTTATAACATACTGATTTGAATTTTTTTTATTTGAAAAAAAATAAGACTTTTTTTTTTAGAATAGTTTTAGATTGGGGCCAACAGATGGCATGATGATTAAGGCACTGGACTCTCATATGGCTGACCACCATGAACTGGCAGCTTGAAAATCATGCTGGGCACACGAGTATGTGTGTCCAAAATCCCAGAAGTTGAATGAACGAGAAGGGATTGTGGCATGGCCATCCCTCCTGAGAGGGATTTCTCACTTTTTCTCTCACACTCTCTCTCTCTGGCTAGTGTATGCACCCTATGACAAAAACCTTAAAAAGATCATTTTAGGGGCCAGTAGGTGGTGTGGTGGTTAGAGACATTGGACTCTCACATGGGTGACCACAGTTCAAGTCCCAGACCTGGTGGCTTGCTTTTTTCCTTTCTGTCTCCCTCTCTCTCTCTTTGATCAAACTGGAAAATAATAATAATAATAAATAAAGTAAACTAATTCTTTAAAAAATAGTTTTAAATTTTTAGAAAAATCGAGAAGGTAGTATAAAGTTCCCATATGCCTTGCATCTAATTCCCCCTATTACTAACATCTTACATTAATATGGTACATTTGTTGGAATTAATAAACTGGTGTTGACACCAGTTTAAGAAAAGTCTATTCTTTTTTTTTTTTTAGAATTATTTTTTACTTAACTTTATTTATCCTTTTCTATTTTTTAAAATTTTAATTTGACCAGAGAGGGAGAGAGAAAAAGAGAGTGAGAAAGCAAGCCACCAGGTCTGGGGCTCGAACCATGGTTGGCCATGTAGGAGTCCAGCGCCCCCAACCACCAGGCCACCTGCCGGCCCCAAGAAAAGTCTAATTTTTATTCAGCTTTTCCTTTTTAACTTGTCTTTTTCTGTTTTAGGATTCTATCCAGGATCCATTTAATTGTCATGTTTGCTTAGTCTGCTCTTGGATGTGATTGTTTCTCAGACTTTTCTTGGTTTTACAAATTTTTTTTTTTTTTTGAGAGGTTTTTGCTACAGGGAGTGTGCACTCATCAGAAAGACAGATACGGATGACAGAAAGTGAAAAATCCCCCCCCCCAGGGGGTATGGGCGCGCCACAATCCCTTCTCCTCCATTCTCCTCTTGGGATCTTGGGCAGGCACCTGGCACTAGTTTAAGCCACCGGGTCTGGGACTCGAACCGTGGTCGGCTTGTGGGAGTCCAGCGACATAGCCATTACACTAACTGATGGTCCCCGACTTTGACAGTTTCAAAGAGCGTCAGTCAAGTACTTTGTAGGATACCCCTCTAATGGTGTTTATTTCTTAATAAGACTGAGGTTGTTGGGTTTTGCAGTGTCATCTTCATCAGATCTTATCAAAGTTACTCAACATCAACAAGACTCATCACTAGTCAGTCCACATAACGTTAATGGCCAGAAGTTCAGTCTTCATTAAGGTCCAATAGAAACCCAAAAGCTATTTCTCAAAAGGCAGGGCTTTTCTTCCAAATCCTAAGTGTTGGTATTGTGATTCACCACAGGTGCCTGCCAAAGACTCTGAATAGCATGTAAATCTGCCACTGACCATTTAAAACTACTGGATCTGCTAGATCATATGGCCAAAGTGGCAAAACAACCTGCACGATATCCTTGACCTGTTGTAGAGCCTTCTCTTTTCCCACTAGGTGTTGCACCTTTTTTTTTTTTTTTTGGTTGTAGGAATACAACATACAACTTATCCTTCACTTGGAAGTGGTACCTTGACATGCCCCATACCAAAAGACCCCTGGAAGTTTCACTGAGGTAGAAAATAGATAGCACCTGAAGTTTTATGGGATTTTAAAAGGGATGTGGTGGGTATCATGACTCCTGCAACTTTCAAATCCTTGACAGTGGCACTAATCTACAATCCAAGAATGTTATATTGCCCTTGGTTTACTATTTTTATAGATAGGAATAGAAGCAATTCCAGTGGCTTCCATTAGTCTTTCCTACCTTTACAGGCCAAACAACCAACATGGGGATTCAGTCAGTTGAGTATGTTCCTTTTAGTTATGTTTTCTGGAACGGGGGAATAATCACAGGATGGGTTCAGGGACCTCCTAGGTCTAATGAGAAGTGAACCTGAGCTAAAACTTCATTGATCACTTGACCTCCATTAAGCCCCTACTCAGACCAGCAGGCAGTGTGATGTTCTGGATTTCCATAAACTGTTAGGTCAGAACCAGTTTCTAGTAATTTCTGGAAAGTATACTTTCTCCTAAGAAAGTTTCCTTTCTCCTAATGTACAGTCATCCTAGTAGATGGCCATAAATTTCTTTGTGGAAGGCTGGGAAAGATTAACAATATGCATTTTTGTCAATGTAGCAAGGTCCTTCAAGAGGATCTGGCTTCCCCTTCATTCAGATTGCTCTGGGTGTGTGAACTGATTCAAATCTGAGAACTGAGGGTATGCAACTCTGTTTTGGTGATGCAGGTTAGGACTTCTGTTTATGACCTAGAATTCTTCCATTTATGCAGTCCAAGTTAGACTTTAGTAACTTGCCCCTTTCTTTTCTAAGGACATGATCAACTGGCACATGTTAAAGGTCTCTGTGAGTGAGACAAGACTGCTTTGGTTCTGTTGGCCTCTATAGTAGCCACACCCACCTACTTTTTGGCAGGTGTTACCCTTTAGTTGTTGCCACCCTGGGAACCCATTATCCCCATTGCGGTTTAGAAATCCGAGTTTGATGAGAGCAGTTTCTATTGCTACATTATATATGTAAAATATGAAATCTGTGTGTATATATATAAAATATGTTATATATTATATATAAAATATGTATGTGTATATAATATATACATATATTTACAACGTATATATTTGTAAAGAAAAAATATATATTTGTAAATATATGTATATATATATTTACAAAGAAGAGCAACTGCAGATCTCTTCAAGAATGGTAGTTACTCTCACAAATTAATTTCTCACAGTCACAGTGAAAGTATGTCCCTTGGGCCCTTCTAGGGTAGGTTAAAGGTCTTACATGGTCCATCTACGCTAACATTCCGATCTCCCCAAGCCTTTAGTTGACTTCCTCTACAGTATAACTAAGATGGTTCTGGCATTTCCACTTCATTTAGTGTAGGTACTTTTGGGTGGAAGGAGGTCAAGTGATCAGTGGAATTTTCACTCAGCTCCTTCTCACAGTGGGCCCAGTGAATCCCCAAGCCCATCCTGAAGTTATTTCCCGCTTTGACTTGCATAATAGGAAAAGACATCCTGACCAGCCAACATACTGTTACAGCTTTCTCTAACCCTTGGATGGAAATTGTTGAATCTAGAATCATTGCTTGATTGGCCCAAATCAAGAAATCTGACCTGATAGTATTTTATAATCTTTCACTTTGGTCCTTGTATTAGTTTTCTGGGGTTATCATAACAAAAGTACCACAAATTAGATGGCTTACAACAAACATTAATTCTCTCATAGTTTTGGAGCCTAGAAGTCTGAAATCAAGTTGTTGGCAGGGTCTTTGGAATAATCCTTCCTCACCTTTTCTCCAGCATTCCTTATATCCTGGCTTCCATCCGCACTATTCCCTTCTCTGCCTGTCTCCACATGGCCTTATTCCCTGTGTTCATATGTCTGTGTGTCTTCTCCTTGTGTAGGAACACCAGTCATCAGATTTAGGGTACATCTAATCTAGTAAGACCTATTCTTTTTTTTTTTTTTTAATGAGGTTTTTGCTATAGGATGCATGTACTCACCGGAGGGTGAGAGAGAGTGAAAAGGAAAGTGAGAAATCACCCCCCACCCCAGGGGGATGGTCATAGGGCAATCCTTCTCCATTCTCTTCCTAGGATCTTGGACAGGAAGGCAGAAAAGCCCAATGTGATTTTCAAGCCACTAAGTACGGGACTGTAACAGTAGTCAGCCATGTGGGTGTCCAATGACATAACTGCTACACCATGGCTGGCCCTCAGTATGACTTATTGTTAACACATTACATCTGTAAAGAACTATTTCTAGATAAGGTCAAGGTATGAGGTTTCAAGGAAGTTCCTGCCTCCGCCAGTTTGGGAGAACAGTATTCAATGTACTATAATCGCACATGACTAATATCCCTAAGAAATACACTTGCAAGTAAAAGTAAAGGAAAAAATAAACATCCTCTCCATCTAGTTTCTCTCTTTGATGCCTACTTCTATGTAGGCTTACTAAGCTGGTCTCCTGGTTTTGCCCTTCTGCAATCTTTTTTTCTAGTTGTAAAATATGATACCAAGATCTTTCAGTGAGGATGAAGCATAGCTCCTTCTTGGGCCTAACCTGGCTATTCTTGATCTGAACTCCAGCATTGCTCTTGCAGTTCCATCTTTCCACAAGATCCCCCGCTGCCCACCTGTTCTGTCCCTGAACTACCCCAGCCGATTCCTGCCTGCACACTGTCCCTGTCTCAGTAACGCCACTTGCACCCAACACTGGTACCCATCCTTAGAGGCTGCTCGATCTCCCCCCCCACCCCCCGAAGAGGTTAAACACTTCACCTTCTGATCTTTGTTACTATTAGTATTTTCCCCTTGCTCTTGTTCCTCTTAAACCAAAATGTCCCTACAAACAATATAATCCAATAGCTCTGGCCGGTGGCGCAGTCAGTGACAGTGCTGAACTACTGTGCTGGGGGCCACGTGTCCAGCAGGGTCTCGCATCTCTGGCCAGGTGGACTTGAGTCACCCGATCACCGCAGGCCAGGAGAGATTGGGGATGAGGATCACGGCGGTGAAGACCCTGTTGGGTGTGTCTCCCCTCCTGCCCCCAAGCCCGGGGAGGGGAAGTAGCTCTCTGCCTGGTGTGACAAACCTGACCCCACACCTGTGGTCAAGCCCAAGGCCGAGGGCTCAGGGCGGGTTGTGACCAAACTGAGGCTCCGGGCAGGCCCAGGCAGGCCCCGGCAAACCGCAGCATCAGCCAATGGCCACATCCCAGCCTTACAGCTGGGGCTACTCCGCCTGGCGGAGGCGACGCTAGGAAGCCGAGAGGGACACTACAAGGCTTCCAAACGCGTTAGCACGCCCGCACCCACACCCACGGTTCGCCTTCCTCCTCTTCATTTTGCTGGGCCCGCGGCTCGCCCCATCCCGCGGAATTTCTGCGCCCAAGTCCTGGAGGAGCTCCGGAGGCCGAGTGAGGATCGAGCATGCGCAATGGCAAGCCGGACCGGCTCGCCTCTCGGACTCGAGCGGCTCAGCC